ACACTCCCACTCCACCACGTGACTGGTGCCGGTGAGCATGCAGCTGTTCAGTCTACCTGCAGCCTTTGCCAGAGTTAATGGAGTTCTTAGCCGCATTGCATAATTTGATGCAAATGACTGTACTGTATTGTTCCGAGCTGTTTCAAAGTTTGTGGGTGCTGGACAATACTCATCCATTTAAAAAAAAAAAAAACTTTTATATGGAGCAAAAGTTGGGGGCATTAAAGAGACGGGATAAGGGAGAAAGTGTCGGTATAGTGGCTAAGGTCTTGGGAGTCTTCAAAAGTACAATAGAAGACAGGAAGAAGTGGATGGAAATTAAATCATAGTGTGTTAAGAGAATGTGTGCAGAAACACTAAAGGAAAAGCCGCTTAACGAGATACAGTACACTCCCGATTATCCACGGAATTTTGTGGCGTGGCCGCCTCGAATAACAAAAATCGCGGATAATCCGAAAAAAGCTAAAACCGGGTATAGCAAAAGAGAAAACAGTCATTCCAACTTTGAATCAAATCGTTTTATGTATAATAAAACGTAAAATAAACAGCAGAAAATGTTTAACTAACGCTTAATATTTTAGTATATCACTCAAAACTAACCTAAAATGCATTTTGTTAATGAAAACAGAAAAGTGCTTTGTACTTACAAGAAGCATCAAGGATACACAGAAAAATTAATACATATGTAGTTTTAATACTGTAATGTATTATGTAATTACATACAAAAGCAATAACTCTTTTTGAACAAATCAGTCATTTGTGTTTGCTTCTTGCTTTGGAAGCATTTTCTCTTGATCCGAGATTGCATTTTTCGTAGCATAAGTTTCTTGGCCAACTCGACATCATCTTGTTCTTCCAAATAGCTCAGTAGTCCGTTGACTTGTTGCAAAGCCGCTTCGTGAGTCTTCCGCGTCTGCACAGTGGGCTCTTCTTCGCTTTCACTTCACTCTCCTTCATTCTCGGTTTCTTCACAATTTCGTCATATGTCAAGCGTTCGAAGCCAGATTCATTGACGTCATACTCCAACCACTCGTTAATGTTTTCAGCATCGACATTCTCACCACCCAGAACTGATTTCACCATATTGGCAAAAGTTGCCGTGGGCGTGTCTACCTCTTCATTCTCTTCTTCACAACTCAAAGGGGATAGGTTGTTGTTGGCTTCAACATTAGACATGAGTTTTCTCCATGATTTTATGAGGGTTGACGGTTTCACTGAGTCTCATGCAGATGCAATATCGTAAATGTTGTCCAAGATTGTGTAGTGTTTCCAAAACCCTATCAGATAATAACCTTCTTCAATTTTGGTCATTAGCAGCTTGGTTCGGTATGTTCTTTTCATTGTTACAATGAGTCCTTGGTCCATGGGTTGGATTAGCGCAGTTACGTTTTGGGGGAGAAACTTTGAAAAAATTTGTCCATCAGAAGACTTTAGCACACTTGTTGCTGTATGAGAAGGTGCATTGTCGATCAATAGCACAGCTTTTTTAGGCAGTTTCTTCGATTTAAGATGTTTAGGCACTTGAAGAACAAAGATTGTTTCGAACCATTCTTAAAATATGTTTCGGTTCATCCATTCCAATGACAACAAGTCTAAGTTTATGTTCACTGGTAGCGTTACTGCAAGACATGATAGTGATCCTTTCCTTGACATAATAGTGCTTGACCCGCCGCTTTACTTTCACTTTCAAAAAGTGTGAGTGGGAATACATTTCCACAAAAGCCCCAATTCGTCGTCATTGTAAATTTGTTCAAAGGATAGCTCTTCTTTTAAAACAAATTCTTCAAATTCATGGTGGAAATCGTCGGCTGCTTGTTCAATACCACTAAGTTTCTCCCCATGAAGTCCAATTTCTCGAATTCCATGTCACTGCTTAAAGTGAGTCAACCAGCCAGAAGACACATCAAAATTTCCTTTCAGGCCTAACAACTCAAAAAAGGTTTTTGCCTTCGCCGCAATGATAGGACCATTTATAGGAGTACTCTCTTTTCGAACTTGAGGCTAACCACTCTGTCAATGCCGTGTCTATCTCATCAAAGGTAGAATCCTTCATAGTTTTTCGCGTTTTCATTGCAGTAGCACTGTCCGACATTGATGCAAAGTTCACCGAGTTTGTCTTTTTGCTATTAGAATGTTGCACGCACTGTTATTTCTGCGATTCCGTAATCCAATTCCATCTGCTGCCTTGTAGCGCCGTTTGCTACTTTGGAAATTAATTCTAGTTTTTGCGCAATCGTCAACACAACCTTCTTTTGTTTTCCTGACATTTTAAATCAGTTACAAAAAACCCAAAAGCACACTGAACACAATAAAAGATAAGAAATTAACTAAAACCGGTTCGCAAACATTATCAAGCTTAAACTAACAATGGCGAGTGGGAGGAAGTGGACGTGTCAGTAAGATTAAGACAAGAGAGGGTGGTGGAGCGGGCACTGCAAGGGTGAGTAAATCACTTACTCATCAGAGGGGAAAGTTCCGAGAAGGCCTGGGATATTTTTGCCATAAATAAGCATGATGTTAGCAAATTTAACGTTTTGCTCAGTTGTGTGAACATTTTTATTTTATTTGCTTTACGCTTTGGGGGGGGAATTTGTGCGGCAGGCGCGGATAATCGGAAGTCTACTGTACTTTACATTTGGCTTCGCCAAGCAAAATAGAAGAGCAATCCAATTAGTTGGCCAATCTTGCAAGAGAAGGCCTTGCAATTTTATGAAGAATTAAAGACAACGATCCTAAATTTGTCGCAAGCACTCGCTGGCTTGTGATCGTTGAAGAAACGATATGGAGTGTAATAGCTTAGTATTTGTGGGAAAAAACTATAGGGGACATGTTGAAGGTTTGACCGCAGAGCAATTGTTCAGTTGTGAAACGGGGCTAATCTTTGGAATTTGGTAACAGGTTGTTTGGAGACATTTTGGTAAGGCGATAAAGGTTACTAGCTAGGACTTTAGCAGTGTGCACAATGCCATTTTTGTGCAATTCTGAGATGTTTTTTAAAGTGAAAAAAGGTTTGACATGTACATGGATGATACAGTGTATGTGCAATTCTTAAAAATGTGCGCAAACAGTGGGTGATTCTGCACTTTCTCCCAATTTCGCACCTAATCTTCGTCACGATTAAGCACTTTTGTTCCATAAAAGTTCTAGCATAAGCGTAATTCGGCTAGCAGATTGTTGGAAAAAAATGTTGAGTAAAAAAAAAAAAAAAAAAAAACATGCGTTTACTTCGTGAAAACAAAATGGCATCCAAAAAAGAACTAGCAGGTTGCTGTAGCAGGTTTGGTTACCAAGTTACCATAATTCGAAGATTAACCAAACGGGGTTAAATTATAAACTGTTACCAGTAAAAAGTCGTGCTTTCAAGGAAGAACAGTCAACCCCTGGTTTTAAAAGGAGCAAGGAGAGAGTAACAATTCTAGCATACAGTAATGCAATGGGTGACCACAAATTAAAACTTAGTGTCATAGGAAAATCAAAGAAACCATGTGTGTTTAAGCACATTAAAATAGAAAAACTTTTTGTTTGGTATCTAAACCAGTCAAATGTCTAGATGAGCTCTGCAATTTTCAAAAAATTGTTCTATGAAGTATTTGTTCCATCAACTGGTCAGTTTTTAAAATCTAAAAACCAGCCAAGGAAGGCTTTTTCTAATTATAGACAAGGTGTCTTTGCACTCGAACATTGAAGAGTTAAAAAATGGGAATATACGAGCAATGTTTTTACCACCCAGTGCCACAACGTTATGCCAGCCAATGGACCAAGGAGTATTAGTTAGTCTCAAGAGAAGCTATTATCCTATCTTCTTTTTACTAACGATGATGTTCAAGGTCTTATCAGGAACTTAAAAAATATTAACCTGTTAGACGTAGTTAGATGGGTGACTGACACCTGGAACGAATTAGAGTCATTAGCCCGCAAACACGCGCGCCAAATTTACGAACATGAGAAGGCGCGCTGGGTATGTCATACCCGAAAGCAATTAACACGTTTTAAATTACATTATTAATATAAATATGAGTATAAATGTAGATTAACATAAAAACAATGAACTTTAGAATAGTTTAAAGAATATAATAAATAAAATACTTAACATACAATTATTTTGCACATCTCTGGCAGACTGAACACATGTGCTCTATACAAATACTAATATTACATTTCTCGCACAGAAACTGTGTCTTTCTGTTCTTGTTTTTAGGGCACTCAGAGCATCTTCTGTAAACATTTTTCATCTTTTTAGATGGTGGTTCCATGTTGCAATCTCCTGAAATTATTTTTTCTTTCAGTTTCTAAGGGAGCATAATTTGCTGCCGCCGTTGATTTGAGTAATCTTCCACTTTCGAATAACCAGTATTTCCTAGAATTTTAAAGATAATGCTTTTAGAACTAGCCCTAACATTCGTTCAGAATTTGTTTTTCTTCCATACCAAGCCATTTTTACCGACTTAATTTTCCTCATTTCATTGATTTTTTAATTCACTATCCAATTCACTGTCTGTTGATGAATTATAATTGCTGTTGTGTTCTTCATCTATTAATTCTTCCTCCTCTTCTCTAAACGTTTCATCCTCTGTTGAAATGGTTTCTAGCATATTTCTCAACCTTTTCCATTTCTTCATCATCATTTAGATGCACATTTAGAAAATCATGCTGGCTAACTAAGAAAGTGAGGGTGAAAATCTGAGAGATGCAAGTAGGCGCACTGGTGTCACATATCCAAACGGTACAATTCCTAGAAAAGTATCCGAAGAATCACTTCACGCATTTCCCAGCTTAATGAATGCGACCTTGAATTCAGTTAGAAAAGGTTTCGTCCATTTCCAGGAAAGGGGTTTTGAGATAAGGGACAAAGAATATTTCCCCAGGTATGACATACCCGGTGCACATGCTCTCGTGTCAAGACTACTTCGTCCTGGTGATAACTCCTTGATCACAAGGGAAATGAGTTCGTTGAACATGATGCAGTAAAAATAAACTTACTCAACCTCCTGAAAAGAATCATGGATGTGCAGAAGCCGATGAAAATGACACCAAACAGTGGTTCTGGAATGATACGGAGTAAGACATTATGTCCAATGCAGAAATTATTGCTGCTAATGAAGAAATGCCAGAAAATGATGAAGGTATTGACTTTGAAGATTCCACCATACAAGCCCCTAATATCACATAATGAGGGACTGGAGGTTGTAGAAACCACCATACAAAATTTTGAACAGCAAGGTGTGTCAGTCATAGACTTACTGTTCCTTCGTCATTTTCATGAAGAAGTAACAAATCGCAGAGTTCTGTGCGGAAAATAACAGAATGTTATGCATTTCTTTTTTAAAAAAGTAGCCACGGTAAAAATATATTTGCGGGTGCCCCTTGGCGAAAATTGGAGATTTCTGGCGGTACGTGAACACTGAGTTTATGAAATTCTTTGACTTATTATTTTATCTTTGTATAGCGGTGATTTTTTGAAACGTCGCCGCCACACAAAGTGAAAAAAACAAATCAAAGAGTTGCACAAACTTGGTACCCATGTCCACATCAATCTATATTCACTCAAAAAAAAAAAAAAAAAAAAAAAAAATCAGAGAATTTCACAAACTGGGCATTGCGCACTCCCATGACTTTGTCCATGTACACATGGATCTATTTTCACATAAAAAGTCAAAGGAACACCCAATTTTACATTCGAGCCAAACAAAAAATATATAATCTCTATAAACTACTTTTAAATCAAACAATGAAATAACATAAAAAATGAAGTTCATCTTGTACCATCTAAGCACTACACTAAGGAAATATCCACTTACCTTATTTAGAAATTTCCATGTCTTCAGTCTGTATCGCATAAAATTCCTTAAGAGAGTTTAATACTCCTTTCTCATGTTGATTTTTAATGCTACGAACGTTAAGCAATGAAGAGTCAAATCTGTAAGACTACCTACACCCTGGTTACTATGGCAGCGATGCTTCCCTTCCTCTGTACTCATTTGGTGGGAGAGTGAGTAAGCCATAAAACATTTAAACACATCACCTCAGTTGAACAAAATACCTGCTGTCATTTCTACCATCTGGGACTCAGACTGCAGGGTGTGTTTTGAACAGAAAAAGAACTTTTCCACTTTTGTGTTGAATGAAAGATATCTGGGAGATACGTGCAAGAGTTCCTATTGCTTTTTGCAAAATTTGTTCATCACGCTTTTCAATGTTGCGTAATGTTTCATAATTTGCCGTTATTCTGAAGAAAACAGTTTTTAAAAATACTAGATTTTTAAGCATTTCGGTAATTTCATCGCGACATAAAAATTATATATAAATGATTTTATACTTGATATGTGTATACATATATAGCATGCACATAATATTCCATTTACTCATCCATCCATAATATTCCATAAATATGTGTAAGCACTTTCCAGAGCTTTATATATATTTTTTACTTGTATTATAAAATCATATAACACTCTTAGCTATATTTTTTAATTCAAAAGTGGATAATCATTATCAAATCTTTCTAGTACACGGATTGTCTATGTATCCATACATATAAACGTAATAAAAGATACTATTCTTGATCGAATATCTTTGGCAGCAATATCAAGATGCAACGAAAATTAGAAATCAATTACTAACATGCATTTTATTACAAAAACACTAGCAGGACATATTATTTTCACAAAAAACTTAGTGTGAAAATAATTTGCGGCACATTATCTGAGATCCACTTTGAATGAAAACTACATAAAATGTTATAATGAACAATCAGTTTCAAGATTTCACTTGATACTGAAATGCATAAAATCATTGCTGTATTCTCATTAAATCTATCATTCTGCGCTACTAGAAACGAAGTACGATAATTTCAAATTCAAAATTTTATGACATTACTTTACAGAAAGTGATCTCATGTCTTCTAAAAAATGAAACCCCACATCTGTTTCTATCCAAGCGCTTACTTTCTAGACAGAGTAATTTCAGTGTAATGTACGTTCAGTTTTGTCTAACTTTGAACGAAAAAAAAAAAAAAAAAAAAAACTATGTACATAACAGGCAAAGATATTAACAGCACATAAATTTACTCAATTATATTGGATTACCAGAGGAGAAAAAAATAATCCGATGAGATAATTCTCTGAGAATTCATAAACGCTAAATTAAGAATAAATTTTATAAAATGTTTACTAATGAATACATGTATTTGCATAGTAAGTTTCCTTTTTTAAAAATTTTTCCATCTTTATCACGTTTATCGGAGTGTCGTATTTAACTTCACAATTATGCTCCGAAATTTCATTGCTGTAGATTGGATGATTACCAATATATAATTCTACTAGTAACCAGGGCCAGTATTAGAGGTTTTTGCTGCTCACTACAATATCTGTGGCTCCTACTTCTGCCATGCTCCGCCAGTGGCTGAGTGCTTAAGAATATTTATTACTGGAAGTTCAACCTGGTTTCGGTTCGATCCCAGGCGAACCAGCTGGCTGCATGGTTTGTTTTCCCCTGTTGTTGTGCAACATGAATACGAGCCCAGTTTCCTTCAGCAATTAGGCTCACCCGCGGCCGAGCGGTTTAAATCGCTGAACACTGGTAGTTCCGACCTGGGTTCGAATCAAGGCGAACAGGCTGGCTACATGGACGTTTTCATAATCTTCCCTGTGTGTAACGTGTATGGGGAGCCGGTTTTCTAAGAAAGTTCACCATAAAGGCATCCATATTTGCCTTAATAAACTAAACTAAGCTTTCAGAAACTTCTTCCTCGAACGCATCTGCTATCTGCCACCTCGTGGCTTTGCTATATATTCAAAGAGCCTAACCCAATTCTAGCACTCAGTTCCTCTCTAAATTCTAGTGGGCAAGTGCTATTGTCGCCGATTACTGGTAGTTCAACCATGGCACATTATCTGAGTTCAGCTTTGAATTAAAACTACATAAAGCGTTATAATGAACGATTAGTTTCAAGATTTCACTTGATACTGAAATGCATAAAATCAAATTGCGTTTCTACATATCAGATTTATAAAGTACAGCTGATAATTGTAGGAGTATCAGATTCATAAAGTTCAGCTGATAAATACATGAGAAGTGGGAAGGAATTCATAAATTACAAAATTTAATGGTTGTAACGATAATTTTAAGCACGAACGTCGTTCATAAAGTTATGGAAAAAAAAGCAGTCAGTACCTTTAGTGCGGGTAGTAATCACTACAAAAAATCTATTCTTTTCTGCCACTTTTTTGGTAGTTTTTCAAAACCTTCGGTCCGGAAACTTGGTGGCCCGAGTCCAAAAACAGGTCAACCTCATTTCGGACGTCCTGTGCAAAATGGAAGATAGGACCAGCAAGATGTAGCTGCAAGTTTGAAAAAAGGTAGAAGTCTGAAGGTGTGATGTCACGGTTATATGGTGGATGTGGGGAAAGATCCCTTTTGAGTCCGTACAGAGGCCAGTCGGTGAATGCAGACACATGTGGTATTATCTTGATGGAACAGTACCTTTCAGTGCCGGAACTCATTTCGACTCTTTTCCTTGATAGCAGCGTCAACATGCACTAGCATCTCGTTGTATCCTTTACTTTCAAGTATCTTTCCACTAGAGATAATTCAATCTGGACAATGGCAAAAATAGAAAGGAAACACGAGCGCATTGGTCCCATTCTTGGCATTAGTATGGTCTATGCTCAAAATACACAACAGATATTTTCTGATTACATGCATCCCAATATCAATTGAATTCAGCTTTTGGTGGAATTTACAATCTGTGACATATTTTTCAAAAACTACACTTCACAACATGCATACATGACAAATACACAGAACCATAAGTAAACAAGCAATAATATATATTTATATATAAATTTTACTAAATGATCATAAAATGTTCCAACACTAACAGAAAGTTCTAACATCCAAGTAAATGACATAATAAAAAAAAAAAAGCAAGTTGAACAGCCAGCACATGAATGCAATGTGCATACACCTGTAAAAATATGCCATAGATAACTAACAAAGTTTTTATAGCAAATGAATGACTATGAAGTTTCCAATAATACCACGTAATGATGGTGAATTCAATTTAGATCGCAAGAACATGCTCATACTTTTGAAAAGATTCAGTTATTTCGGCAATTCCTTGTGAATGGAGGAATAAATTGTTCTAACAGGACTGAACAATTATTAGCATCCCCTCATATGTACACACACACATACACCCAAAAAAAAAAAAAAAAAAGGGTAAAAAAATCACTTGGGCAATCATTCTCCTTTGACACAAATGCAGTTGTGTCAATAATTTCTTACCTTCAATTAAAAAATAAGCATATTTTACTTCGGAATTAACTTACTATGAAATCATAAACACAAGGTATCAATATAAAGGATAAATTATTTCTCACCTCTCGGGAAAACATCCGCTTGTTCGGAATCTTCCACATCTCGGGAATTTAATTCCATATTTATTTCTTGAGTTTGACGTCGTCTCTGAACTCTATATCTTTTATTAAAACGAGGATGTTTTTTCGGTCTTCCTTGATATTTTCGCATATTTTTTTGCTAACTGACCACAGTTCACATAAATGTAAACAAAACGAATGCGGAATAGCAGTGCAATAGGGTTGCCGTAAACGTCGTTCTGCTGACAGCTGACACTGTTTAGGGAAAACTGTGTATAAAGGAATATATGAAATGATTCTAAATATTATTTAGAAAAAAATAGGATTTACAGCTGGTATCAAAATCAATTATTTCGGTAATTTTTGCAGAAATAAGATTACAATTCTAAATTTTAACTAGTAACGCCATCTATTGATAGCTTTCCAAACTACACATTCAAATTACGTATTTCAAACTAATTTTTTTAAATATAATATTTAAATAAATTTCATTCCAAATGTGATTCTAACTTTACATTCCAGAACTGACCTATTGCTTTATATTTCTGCTATATTTCACGCAACATAGTTTCTTAATTAGCGATTCTATGTGTAAACAAACTTTTAATATTGTAATACTACTGTAGTAGACCATCTTAACAGCATCCATAAACTTTCTTCAAATCCTGTTCGCTTTCTAATTGTATGTATTACTTAGCGCAATTTTTATTGCAGAGTTAATTGCTCGTTTTACTTCAAAATTGGAGCTTGTCGTCATGGGGATAGATGCTCTCGCATTCATAACAAACCTACATTCAGTCAAGTAAATATTTAAATTTTATTTAAATTCTTTATGAAATTTTAAAATTTAAGATAAAATAAAATAACCTTTCTCGCTTCTCTTTTCTAGACTGTTCTTTTGCAGAATTTATATCATAACCCTCAGAATTCAGCACAGTCTGCTGATGGATCACACTGCAAATTTTGTGAGTATTCTTGAGTATTTTCAATGAATTATCTAATAACATTCTAACACATAAAGAAATTTTATTACTTTATTTAACATAAATTTCTGAAAAGAAATGCACTATATTTCTGAACAGTAAAATTTAGCTGCAAGCTAAGTTTGAAAATTATCGTATTGTATAAGTGAAGTTTAATATTGTCATGTAAAACTGCACTATACCGAAAGTTCATATAATTGGTCATTTGACTTACCTAACCTATCATACGTACTAGCTGAAGTTGAGTTCAGGTCTTCATCTCTTTCAAAGAAAGGCCAGAAAAATAATCTGATTGGTAAAAAAAATTACATTAGTAATGTTTCAGGCAGAATTGAAGATTTTAGCCATGAGATTAATATTGATGTTACAGGGTTCGTACAGTCCATAAGAGTCCTTGGGTTTTTTTGGAACCAATTTTTTATCTTCAAAAGTTCTTAATTTCCACCAAATTCGGCAGAAGGTCCTTAATTTTAATCATCTGAAATTTCTCTGTTTTTACGAATGCCATTTTGAATGTGAATTAACATTTTGGATAAATATTTTTGGCCAGTCATTGACAAATATAGTTATCTTTTGAATGTGTGAAATAATTTGGATGAAATTATTTCACCTATTCTATTTATATTAAAGTAATTTGGAAATAAATATAAATGGATTATGATTTGTTCCTATTTCTAATATAAACGGTGGGATACTCAAGTTTCTGTGCAAAAAGTGAAACATAAGAATTTCGAAATTATTTAATTTTTTCTAATAAAGAGCTCTTAAACAACTTTTCGCTTTTGGGAATTCTTTATTAAACGGTTCCAAAATTGGCAAAATTAAAAATGGACAACAATATAAGAACATGTGGCGAGAGATGCAAAATGGTTTTGGTCTATGATTATTTAGCAAGATCGCTTTTGGGAATTCTTAATTAAACAGTTCCAAATTTGGCAAAATAAAAAATGGACAACAATATAAGAACGTGTGGCGAGAGATGCAAAATGGTTCTGGTCTATGATTATGTAGCAAGATATATAAGAACACGCAGCGGAATTTTCACGAGATATCTTGGTTGATTGTCGATTAAATCTCAGGGGTCCCACTATAACAAAGAAATGCAGAAACGAATTGAAAGAGGGAAAAGACTTTTAACTGGTCGATAATATTCCGCTAAATGATGGATAATTTAAAGCATATGTATGTAGATTGTACTCCTTTAGATTAGCTATTATTGCATGTAAATTTGCAAATATGCAAAAAAAATGGCAGCTCTATTTAATGCTTGAACTGGGGGGTGTAATCAGGAAATACTGTGTATTTTTCAATTTTGTCTTTTAAAAAATGAATGTAACTGATAAAATATTAGTTTTTAATATCTTAGAATAAAATTTAGAGCATGGAAATTTCATTATTGCTTTCAGCTTATATTTTTTGATGAGTTACTAATCAAAGAAAAATTTTATTTGAAATTTTCCTTTTAGAAATGTGAAATGGAGTTAAATAATATTAATAATGCTTAACCTGCAAACCCTGTTGTAATATCCCATGGTTTCTGAGACGTATATTTTATTAATTCCTATAAAAGTTTTGTTCACAACATCTTGTAACTCTTAAGTACCTCGTAGTGTCTTTTTACATTCATATAGTCTCTGTCAGAATGTGCACAGCTCTGTTTTGATTATTTTAACATCCTAGGGATGCAACGATGAAGATCAAGTCCTTTCTTTTACAAGGGGGGACTGTATTTCTAATGCTTATTTTCATTTGCATTGCTTTTAAGTAATAGCTTCTGATAAATCAGGTTGCAGCAAAAGTTTTCCACCAAAAAATGTTCTTAACTGCTTCCATTAAAATTTTTTTTGAAAAAAAATTGCAAAAAATCATCACATTGTTTATTTTATTATTATATACTAGGAAACAAATCAAAATATGTAGGTTTTAAGTCGAAATTTTAATTTTTTGAAGATGTAAATACATTTAGTTTTAATATTAGTTTACTATCCCGAGTTATCTCAGGCAAACGAAAACAAGTTAAATATTAGTCTTTGTATGATAGTTTTTAAAACAAAGGACAACACAAAGTGATATCTGATATTCTATACACTGATATCTGGTCTCTTTTCTTACACTGACTTACCGCTGGAATCTCTTCTACACGGGAGCATCGAGTACATTGTGTCATTGGATTTTGTTTCCCCCCTCCACACCTCTTTATAATCACTATCTGAAAATTCATCGCCATTATTTTACTTTTTTTCCACGCAAGTATTCTTCTTTATACATTACTAATCTACAATCCAACGTATACTATACAATAGGCAAACACGTAACCAGTCCCGCCAAAAGAACTGCCCAACCAACAAAACTTGGCAAACTGCCAATCAAAGCTGAATATTTCATTTAATTTCCTCAAGGCTGAGTAAAACTGCGATAAAACGAATCGTATAAACAAATTCTGCTTCGCCCGAGTTTTCCCGGCATAATAATTAACTGCAATGTATATGAACCCGTGATAACTCGGGATAATCAGAAAAGGGCTTAATAAAGTTCAGAAAAAACATGAAAGCGGTAACTTTAGTGCAGGTAATAATCATCACCTAAATGTATGATTTTCTGCCAATGTTTTGGTAGTTTTTCAAAGCCTTCGGTCCAGAAACTAGTGGCCACAAGGCCAGAAACAAATCAACCTCATTTCGGACATCCTATGCGGAATGGAAGATTGCACTAGCAAGATGTACTGCAGGTGTGAGAAAAGGTAAAAATCCAAAGGAACGATGTTGGGCTATATGGTGGGTGTGGCAACAGATCCCATTCATGTCAGTACAGAGTCCAGCCAGTGAATGCAGACACATGTGGTCTTGCATTATCTTGATGGAACATTACCTTTTTGCCAGAACTCAGTTTGATGTTGTTCCTTGATACCAGCGTCAGCATGGAGTAACATCTTGCTTTACACCTTACTGTTGAGAGTTTTATTTTTTTCCAGATACTTCTTGTGGATAACACCACAGCGATCCCACCAGATACAAAGCATGACCTTTTTGTTAGTCAAATCATAGTTTGTAATGCTGTCTATGGGCGGTTCTGGTGCAGACCAACACCCCTTTTCGGCCTGTGTTGAAGTAGATCCACTTTTCATCACAAGTGATGATCCGGTCCAGAATTTTGCACTTGCATTGATATTCAACCAGATTAGTGTAGGTCCAAACCGTCTTCTTATCTGCTTGAGTAAGCTCATGCAGCACTCAGCGATTGAACTTATATGTCAAGTTTATGTGATACATAGCGAAACTAATGAACGTGACACTAATGTCCAACTCCTTAGCAAGCTCTCAAGTGGTTGCATACTGATCTTCTTTAACAAGTTCTTGCAGGCAGTGCTGATCATCATCAGTATGCAGACCAGAGCGCTCTGCTTCTTGAATGTCGTAGCCCTTGTTTTTGAATTTTTGGTACCAAATCTTCACTGTGTCATACGATACAACAGTAGTAAATAAAGTTGCGCACATGATTTGGTGACGTCCTGTAGCTGACGTTTTGTAACAGAACTAGAAGTAAGTGATGGTTCTAATCTGGTAGCATGATAGTTCCATTTCAGACACCTTGTACGTAACAGTAATGAGTAATAATATATTTTTTTACAAATTTCAAAACACGGTGTTCTGAAGCAAATGTTTTTCTTTCAAATGCCAACAATTGTTTGACAAAATATGATTAAACTCGCCAGCGCGAACTGTTTGCACGGACAATATTTATGGTGGCGGGAAACTTTCATTAAAACCCGATATTAAAACACTGCCAAGAATTACATATTATGCCAAGCAACAATATAGTGAATCAGTGAAGATTATATATTAAAATGTTTCCTAAATAATTAATAGGATAACGCTTAAAATATCAGTTATAAATTTGACTTTTTAGGCATTTAAAATTATCTCATTTATATGCATGGACTACAAAAGTGTGCTTGCAGTATTAAGAGAACCTCCTTATATATAATGCCTCTTAATATACATTTCATGGTATATTTAAAATGTGAAAACAAAGTGAATGATTTTCAGGAGGCTGAGATTATAACTTAATATAAAAAGTAATCAGTTATTTTTTAAAAATATATAATAACATTTTTATGCAATCTGCTCATTTAACCCTTTCTTGACAGCACACCTTTAAGAGGTGTTTATTGGGTGTATTGCAAACCCTAACTGTAGAAAAAAAATTCCCCCCTCCAAGAAACGTTTCATAGAATCCTAATGTCATAATTTTTAGGTATCATTTTAGATTACTTAAACTCTCATGTACATTAAAATTAGCGTTTAATAATCTGTTCTCTTTAATTTGCATGTAAATATGTAAAAACAATTTGCTTACCTTGAGAAATAATATTCAAGTTATTCCAAAATTTTAATGGACAAAGTACATTGATAAATTTTTAAAAATTAATTTTAAAAAATACAGCAATGTCTAGTAACATTTAAAATGAAATATGGGTGTGGTAAATCTTGAAGCATGGAGAATTGCAAAGTCGACTTTGCATGATCTACAAGCATAACATATCCATTATTAATCGACTCATTTATCGTGCGATATATTCTTCCTTTGATATAAATAACATTTTCTTGCCATAATAAACTCAAGTCAAGGCTTTCTGAAATAAAAAAGCGATTACATAAACTATATCTGAAAACAGTGCAAAGGTAATTGCACTGACATTAAACCCTAAAAGAGCCTACATATTAGTGGGAAGAAGTAAAGTATTTGGAGAGATTACAGAAACGTGAATGTTTTTGTCACCCAGAAAGTTGAAGTAAACTCTGTTTGTTTACATTATGCTTTCCCTCCTGCCCTGCAAAAGTTGATGAACAAAATACCAAGTCAGGCAAAATGTTAGATTAAAATGCATATATGCATCACCCATACACTAAGCTCATTCTCTCATTCCTTCCCCCCCCCACATACACACACACACTCAGGGATAGATAGAAAGGTCTAGCTCA